TCCCTAATTTCTCACTTGTGTTTTCATGACAGTTGGGTGGATAATAGGGTTAACATGAATATTTGGGAACTCTGCCTAAACTTTTTTTTTTTTAAAAAAGGCAGCTTGTTTCTTGTAAACTCATTCTTGGGCACAAGGAGATCTGGTGAGGCATCACAAAGCGGGTTGTTACTGAAAGACTAGTAGAGGACTGAAAAAAGAAGGAAATACAACGCCTGCTTCTGAAAACGTAGAGAAGGTTGGAGAACTTCCATACTAGCTAGATCAGATAGAAATCTCCAAAGAACACTGAAACAGGTATACAGTTTCTAAACACCTAGAAAAAGCTCACAGATGAGTTACTGGCTAACCAGAACTTGCCAAGAGCAGATCTAAATTGTATGGCTTCCTTCTACAGTTGTTTCAGAATAAAATTATGAGACTCATAGATTCATAACCTCTCAAATTAGGAGAAATCTCATAAGCTGCTCTGAACAGTAGACTAAAAAGTCTTATTTAAGCAGTGTGCTAGGTTCTGTGGCATCTGACCACTTCAGTTTCTGCCACTTGGGCTAATGATGATCCCTAAAGAGCATAGGGCTGTTGTTTGACCCTGCAGAATGCACTTGGTAGCAGTACCTGAACATAATCTCCTGTCTCCTCTTTGATGCAAGGTATTGTATCATAGCTTGGAGTTTCAAAAAACTTGCAAAATTATTACAATTGCTTTGTGTCTCATCATGTAAGTTCTCTTGCCCGTTATCATAACCAGTATGCTTTTATTACGTTTTTTTATGTCCTAGTGGTAAGCCTTCTGTGATTGTTGGCAAGTTTTTCGCAAGTAGACATAGTAAGTTAGACAAAAAAGAATCCCATGTTTTGTTTCTTTATTGGTCAAGGAACTGACACACACTCTGCACTCACTTCCTTGGATGGTTAGTGGGTAAAAGGGCACAGAATAATATATCCTGAAGGTGGATGCTGCTTCCAGGAGAATGTGAGTGGGTATACAGCAAGTGAAAACATGTAGTGTTTTAACCTGTGTCTACAGTAGTATGTCGTGCAGACAAATTAGAACAGTAAATCAAAGCAGTGTTGAGCACTTGATATCCATACTAAAAATGCTTCATTATTTTTAATTTTAGACTAGCTCTAGTCTGTTCTTGTGGACTGAATGCCTGTTTGCAGCTGGAACACATTAGGTGTGCTCCTGGCATACATTTTCTTACATTACCTTAGTTTAACCTACAAAGAATCCAATTCCTTTGTTCCAAAACAGCTCTGTGATGTGAACCAACACACCATCAACAGGAATGATCAGGCAGCTCACTCAAAAAGCGTGCTCCTGATGTGAACTAATACAAAGATGTGCATAGACACACCCTTAGAGTGACTTACTGCAGGTTAACTGAGCAGCCTTCCCCCATATGCTCTGGGTAAACAGTTTTGAAGCATCTGCTCTATCAGCTTCTTTGCAAAACTCTGAATAAAGTACTGGAGTGAGAATGTTAACTTCCATGGTTTCCTTTATTAGAAGAGAAAAACCTTTGTAGGG